ATTAGCTTCATTAAGATCCATTTGTCATCTTTAAGAAGCCAAGAACAACAAAAATCCTTATTTTTAACCTCTCAAACAGCACAAATGAAGTGAGTATGAATGAGTGCTAAAATTAGTCTCATGTATTTATGGATATTTATTCCTCTTGGACAACACTAGTTTTAGCAGTATCCAATTGACTGTACTATTTTTGTATTTAAATTGTACTTTTGTACAATTGAGATGTATTATTTCTGTACTTAAGCTGTACTATTTTAACTAGTTTTCCCATACTGTCAAAAAATATTGGCAAAATTTTAGTAATTTTAAAATTGCATTGTACTTATAAAATATCAAAAAATTTTCTTGTCAATGTCCAACAAAGACATGGCTGCAGCCAATGCAAGGGCAATAATTCTATTATCTCAGCTGTACCAGCAAGATTAAAAGTTACAGGCATTACAGACAAAAATATACAAATCCTATTGACACATTATATTGTTTAGTCACCAAATGAGAAAAAAGATAGAAAGGAATCTGTGAGACTATGTGAAATTGTTTTAGACCAATTAAAACCTTGTCTTCATAAAAATTGGCTGTTGAGCCAAGAAGAAAGAAAAGAAAGTAGCGAGTTTATGCAAAATTGTTTTTGACATAAAATGAGGAGAAAAATTAGATTAATAAGAGTGTCTGAAGTCATGTGAAAGGTTTAATTTCTGTTCACCATATCCAGTGTTGTAATTTTTACCAGTGTCAAATTATCACCAATTATATTATGGACCTTTTAACCAAGCACATGGCACTCCAAAGAACTTTCTTTCAACAATCCAAGAAAACTAAGTATTTCAAAGTATCTCTATTTGTCTGCTTTTGGATGTATGCAATGGTATATTCTTTCTGTGAGCAACAAACTCTCTTACCTTTGTTATAAACATTTTTGAATATCATTTTGTGTCTGATCATTTAATCTATTGTATGAACATTTCTTCTTCATGACAATTCATTAAAACTATGGACTTTAAGAATTTATTTCTGATTTATTTCCTTGAAACAAGCTACCGAAACAACTTCAAGTGTATAAATTTGTAAGTAAATTCCTTATCTTTTTTTTATTAAAATTACCTGTGTGTTTTCTCATCATTACCATCCTCCATTAATCTTCTTGCTATGGATAAATCAACCATTCACTTTAACCCTAAAAGTCCGATACCACTATATATCTTATATTCAGTACCTATGAAAACACAAGTTATTTTTCAATCTTCAAGGTTCTTAGACACTATGGATAAAACAATTTTAACTTCTTAATAAAATTAAGGTGTACAATCATTTTATGTAGTACTTTTTTATGTATGTACTTTTGCATATGAGTGTAGATGCATACTGAACATTAAATATTGCTATTGAGAAATTAGTGTTTATATACTTCTTTGCCAAACTTACATGTTTTATGTTTTGTTTACTTAAGGTGGTAGTTTCAGTGCTTTCATGTTTTTGCCCAATGTTCTTTATTATTATTGTGTATGTTTTCTCTTTGCAACACTAAATCCTTCAAATATTTTTTTGCCAGTCAATCCATTTTTCTTGCTTATTACCTTCTTTATTTTTCTCAAATCTCTTTTTTTGAAGTTCTTAAAAACAGTATTTTTTCTTGTTCTTAACTTGCCAATGTATTCACTTTACTTTTTGATTGTTCTATGATCTCTGTTCAATATTTTTGCAATATTCAACATTGTGTTCCTACAGCTCACTAACTTTTTCTATATCTTGTTTCTCTTTTGAGGTTATATCTTTCCTATGACACATTGCAATCTTTACATATCTGAAATTGAAAAGTATCAATAACTCTGCCATTATATATATTTATTTTGAATATGATGAATAACCTACAAGTTAGGTAATTAAATATCACACCATCAAATAAATTATTGCAACTATTTCTAATAAGAACCCATGTTATAATCTGAAATTCATGTGGTATATTTATCATATAAAGATATCCTGAAAATTTTACCAACATCATTTGGTTAATACCAATTTTATTGTGAAAATATTAACTTGAATAATAAAATCTGACAAGTGCAGTGGGTACTTAATTGATAAACTAGAAAAAATCATTGAATTTAAAATTCCTTTGTGTTTTCATTGTCAGTTTCTGAACTTCAGTGAGTAAAAATAATCAAACATCTACAATAATATTAATATTATTATAGATTAGAATGTATCAAAATGTATTTTTAGAGATCTTTAATGCTTATTTCACTTACATGAAAGTATCTATAGACTATTTCTGGCTCCTCTATATTATTAATGTTATTATATATATGTATATATATAACTGCCAATGCGATTCAGTTGTATCTTTTGTTTTGTATACTATAATGACAGATATGATTTTGAGATTCTGCAAATTTTGAGGTATTATTTTAAGCTGGGCCTCAAAGCCATTGAAACTCTTTGCAGAATTTCAGAAATGGAATAAAATGAAACAATATCCAGCCATACTACCAGAGACTGGTTTAATTGTTTTAAGGATGGTGATTTATCCCTTGAAATAAAACCTAAAAATTTAATAACTCTCAATTTTTAATGATGAGGCTTTAAAATGCAAGATAGAGAACTAACATTTGTGAATTTTTCGAATAGCTGTGATCATCTAAAACAGCATAAGAAGAGCATTATATAAGCTGTTTTGTAATTATACATTAAAGAGTTATTTAAAATTGAAAATGTTTTCAGGCTTACCATAAAAATTTAAATCTCTGCTAAATCTAAATTCTTGTGCCAAACCCCAAAACCTAACTTAGTAGGAATAGGAAGGGAAAAGAGCACATATGCTTCTCGTCTCCTTATGATCAAAATAGATGCAAATAATAAAATAAAACTCATAAAATTTTAAAGGAAAAACATTTATTACACAAGTACAAAAATGGTACAAATACAAAATTTGCACAAAAATTTCCTTTTGTGTATCTATTAAGGGAGGATAAAAAGGATTACTATTGAAAAATGGTGAATAAGGTTACCATTTAGGAAAATACACAAGGATTCAATGACAAAAAGAGAAAACAATTGAAGAAGGCAGAAAAACAAAAGTGCAACCATATTTCAGAAAAAATGAAAACACCTACTTTTACTTGCCCCATGTGTGTCTCTGGAACAGTAGTTTTAGAAAAGTTCCTTTTAAAATTAATACTGTTCATGCTTGGAAAAATTTCTTTGAATTCTTTTCATTCTTTGTTGACCAACTGCAGGAAAATTTTCACTTGTGAACTTCAAGGCACTCTGCAGCTGATTGGTAACTATTGCCTTCTCACCTTTCTCTTCTTTGATATCAATTTTCCTCTGTCCTTGATATTAATTTGCCTTAATCACTTGTGGTCAAAAAAGTATACCCCTCCATCCACTGACATGAGTTCTATTTATGCAAACAAAGACAATCACAGAAGCTTCTTCCAAGTTTTTTACATACCTCCCATTAGCCACAAAATACGAAAAAAACAATTTTCCATAAACTTGAAATAGGTCCTTTTACAATTTTGACAGCTTTTAACTGCTGAGGCTAAAATGATATACATACCTGTAAAAAATCATCAGAATTAATCTGTAGAAAAAGACAAAATATCGATAAATGAAAAAAGACAATAGGAAAACTATATGTACTTTTAGCTGACGTGTTTCATCCACTGTGGATTTCATCAAGGCAAAGAACGAAATGAATTTATTTGAACACAGTATCTATAAACAAAAACAAAATGTTGTTAGTTACTAGAAGAATTTAGAAATGCTCATATATATTCATTAGGTCAACTGAAAATTTATGTCATTTACTTTTTATTTTTTAAGAGAATTTTTCATATGTAGAAATATTGTTTGGATTGTTGTGATGACGGATTGAACCGTTTTCTTTTAATTTTTTGATATATTTATTGTGTATGTTAGCTTTTGAGAGTAGTGATTCTTTTAGGAAATGTGAGATTGAGAAAAAATGGGGCATAGATTAATATTTGGGTAATATTAAATGGCAACACTCTCAAGGATTTTCCTTCTGAGTGAATTATTTTCTTTTCTTATGAGTGTAGCATTTTTAAAATCAAAATTGTGGTTGAATTTATTTCTATGAATGACCAGGGCATTTGTCAAATTGTTATTTATGAGGTATCTTTTGTGAAATTTCAGAGATTTATTTTATATATGCCTGTTTCTGAAATATTATTGTTATAGGTGTTTGTAGATCTGATTATATCCATAATGGTCTTAGAAGTGGTTGTGATTATTTGGATGTTGTTTAGATGGGATAGGTTGTTCTGGATAGTGGACATTACAGAGTTGGTAGCTAGTATTATGTATTTGTTCTTGTATAATTTATTATTACGGATGATGATGATATTTGTGTTGTGGTTGTATATTTTGTATGCCTTTCTTTTTGCTTTGGGGATGAAATTATATGGATATTGTAGGATTTGAATGTGTTTTCTATGTATGTTTCTTCTTTGGGTAAATATTGGGGGCTGCAAATTCTTAATGTTCTTAGATAGAAACCTATGATTATACCAGATTTAATTTTAGAGGAGTGGTTTAAGTAGAAGCTGACCAGGTTGTTTTTTGTTAGTAGCTTTTCTATAAATGTCAAAATTAAGTTTCTTATTGTTTTTGTGTAACATGATATCTAGGAAGGGAAGTGTGTAGTTGGTCTCAGTTTCAAAGGTGAAGTCTATTGTGGGATCGATGTTGTTAAGCTGGTTGACAAGATCTGTTAAATTAGTATTTTGTGGATATATTAGTAGTGAGTCATCTATGTATCTGAAATTTCACAAAAGGGACATCATAAATAACAATTTGACAAATATATATATATATATATATATATATATATATATATATAAATTTTACACAAACATTCTGGCCTTAAAAATATTTCTCTAAAAGGAACATGTACAAAAAAATAACAAGCTAGTTAATTAAACATTATTATTACACAAAAGATTAAGAGTAATAAAAAATAAAATTTTTATATTACAGCCACACAGGTTCCCGTATGATCACTGTAGTTAAGCAACATCGAGCCTGGTCAGTACCTAGATGGGTGACTGTTTAGGAATACCAGGTGCTTTAAGCTTGGATGTGCAGGTAATGTAATGGGTAATGGCTTGGAATTGTTAATTGGAGAGCTGAATTCCAATTCTTGTTGGGTTTGTTATATTCATTTACACACAATTACTCTTGGGAAGGGTATGAATTCACCACTTCTCCCCACTAGCTATATGTTAATTAGTAAGACTAGTATCACTAAAGCGTTATTATCTCAAAAAAATTCTTACAATCTAAAAATATTTCTGGCTTTGAATAGCCTGCAAAGGGTTGGTGATCCATAGAAAATGAATGAATTAATCAATCAAAATATTTTTGATACACATCAATATTTTGAAGTGTTGAACTTTATTCTTCTGAGGCATGTGGGTTCTTTCCTGTACATTCACAGTCTATGTATCAGCATTGAAAAACAGGATGTTTAAAGAAATCAGCATATATGTTATGATGAAATCCTCCAATCAGTATGCCATACATAGATATTAATAACATGAAAATCAATAAAGCTAAAATGAATGAAATCTGAGATTCAAAAAAGGTGATCTCAAAAATGGGATTGCTAGCAAAATTTAGCTAATTCACCAAATGTTTAGGAGTTCAACACATAGGTCAGATGAGAAGAGTGTCAAGTCTGAAGACAGAGACACTAGATGTGATATCTAGAAGGAATGTGCATGTTCCATTTCAACAAAGTTTGACATTTCAAAATACAAGAGATACCTGAGAAAGGTGCGTGTGTACAAAACATTGTGATAAAAAACAGATGGGAAATTGGTTGAATTAAACTACTACAACTGTAGTATTTGACTCACTCCAGATCATGCCAGAACAGACTTTGCACTCAGTGTCTTCAAAGAAGCCAAGTGCACCATTGACCTGATAGATAACCTGCTGGCTGACAAATACAGGTACATATGATCAACCCCAGCTGCACTGATATTTAAATATATAAACACCTGCCTGATAGCCAACAAGGGTAATCTATCAAACATTGCACATGATAATCTATAGTCCATGTTTGTATGAAGGCCTGGTGCCACCCACACACTAGCAAATAATAATTGAAGAAATCTGGAGTAAAATAAGATTTAATGTTATACATGAAACATTAAGTCTTGTGGCTTCATTAATCGATATGATGTCATTACACAATGGTAATTTTCTAATTGTAGCTTAGATATGGCACAAGACCGAAAGTATGGGGCACCCAGTGAAGATCAAACTCATTACTCAGTAGTAACGAGACAAGCTTGCTAACCATTACACCACATCAAGATGCCCAATGATTTTCTAAGCATGACTTAGATGTGGCACAAGGCCAAAAGTGTGGAGCACCTAGTGAGAATCAAACTAACTATTCATTTGTAACTGATCTAGTGAGACAAGCTTACTTACCATTACACCATGTTGAAGTGCCCACAATACACAATGACACTAAAAGATTCCTGATAATTAACTTTATACATTTGGAAAAATGCTTAAAATTATTGAAATTCATTTGAGTAAAATTGTTTTATTTGCTTGTTTGTCATGAATGATCATTAATGGCATTCTCAGTGTTTAAAAATGTAAATAATTTAAAATGTTCTTAATTGCTTTATAAATTTTTTGAATGAGTTTTTGATAGAACTCTAAATCGATCAAATTAATTTAACTTTGATTTTTATTGCAAAGAAAAAAAAGATTAAATTGTTAAAGAATCAACATTTTTATGTTGCAGGATCAGTTTTTAGATGCATATTCAATGTCAATTTGGACTTATGACATGTGATCTAGAGAAAAAAAAACTATTGTTAATATAAAAAAAATCCATGCATATAAAATTCTGCTGTAATAATATCAGATGATTTTCACATTGATCTATCTATCTATCTATCTATCTATCTATCTATCTATCTATCTATCTATCTATTTAAATTTCTTGGACAAGATTTTTTTTTGAATGCTACAAATGACAACCAAGAATCATAGGTAGAGTTCAGAGATGTAACACTTTGGTTATAGTCAGAGTAGAATGCACAAATACAATCTCTGTCTCTTTCTCTGTCTCTGTCTGTCTGTCTGTCTGTCTCTCTCTCTCTCTCTCTATATATATATATATATATATATATATATATATAATAAAATATAGTTTTAAGGTTTTATATATTTATGAGTTAAAGTGTTCAATATCAAGGATAGAGCATATGTAAAGTGGATATTGACATCAACATCCAGAGGTGACACTCTGTTTCATGCTAAACGCAGTCATCAGGCCATGTGCATTGTATAAATAGTCAAGCAAAAACACAACACATATATACTGACAATTGTGTTTAGCATGAAACACACTGTCACTTCTGGATGTTGACTACAATGTCCACTTATATACATATATATACAAATTTTGTTTAAAACCACTGGCAAGTTACTGCAGTTAAGATTTTGCTTAATTTTTCTTGTGTTCTTATAATTTTTACTTATGTGTTATACTTTTTCTTTTCTGGGCATAAATTATATAGAAACTGTCTGAATATTCTGCATGTCCAAGAGCTTTCAGCTATTGTTTTAGCCAGTTATCAAGGATGATACTATTTTTACTTTTAACTGAATGTATGGACTTTTTCATGTATGTATCTAGAGTTACAGGAATATTTTATTTTCCAAACATGGTCAGCACATTGTGGTCATGTTCATAGTTGATGTTATTGAGTGCTGGCTTTTTTTAATTAATAATGCTTCCATTTTTTGGAATGTGCATGTGCATGTGCATGAGGCTATTATACATGTGCATGTGCATGAGGCTATTATATTTGTATTGTCAATGAGTATGTTGCGGATGGAGTTTGTTAGGTTTATGTATGTATTTAAATGAAACTTAATTGATCTATGGTCAGAAACTGAAAGTATCAACCCAAGATGCACCTGTTTTTTCAAATTGCCATTATCTACTAGGATAGATTGATCTCATTCTAATATCTTGTTTTAGTTAATTCAATTTTGTTTCTTCTGCTGAATTAAGGCATAGGAACTTCACTGCTTGATACAGGGACAAACCTTTTATTTGTATTAATTATATATATATATTTCTCTGTCTGATCAGACCCATTTTTGCAATTTACCAAAGTCTTTGCTGGATTTTTTGCTTTCAGGATCCAAAGAACCATCTCTAACAAGAGTATTTACAAGATAGACAAAGGTATCAACAGCCTTGAGTTTCTCACCCTGAATAAAAATGTCAAGTTTGAAATAGCATTTCCCTGGAGGGGTGTATACATAACTTTAGTCTTTTTTATGCTAAGGGTTAGACCAAACACAGTGTATGTTCTCAAAAAATGGTCCATTATGGTTTGCAACAAGGTCCACATTGTCAGCATAGAGTAACTCTCAAATAACTAACTCTCAAGAGAATGGGAAATGAGAGATTGCCTAAGCACCTGTTTTATGGAAAGCTTATTCTTGGTAAGCACCCCAGACTCAAACCCAAGAAACATTTCAAGGATCTTGTTAATGGCAACTTGAAAAAACTTGAAATTAGTCAAAGCCTGACAAAAATAGGCAGAGAATTGGTTTGGTTGGTGAAAGTTAGTTTTTGATGGCTGCAATCATTTTGAGCATTTGAAGTTGAAAAGAGCTCTTAGGAAACGTAATGTAGACTCAATCCCAGAAGATATTCAGACTGAGCTTGTATGTAACATCTGTGGGAAGGTTGTTCTATCTTGTGGTAGATTTGCTAGTCATTGAAGATTACATGAAAATTGGCAGTCTAATGCCGATTATGTGCTAGGGTGACTAGACAATCCTTGTTGCAGATGTCTGCTCAGACACATTTATGTTTTTCAACACTCACAAAGCTTACTCATGGATTATACAGCAACTATTCTGAGTGAAGCTTAGTTACAGTTTAAAGGTAATTACTTGAAACTAGGCCTTGAACTTGCAGTATTATGGTTAACTGACTGATATTCTAATTATAAATATATGATAGTTTCAAATAGATGGCTTGGAACAATTATTTTTTTTTGGTGAAAAAATCCATCCAGGACATTCTTATTCCAACTACTTTCATTATATATTCAGAAAATTTTTTCCACAGCTTAAGTTAATTAAGCTGTGAGAATTTTGTGAAAGACAATTTTATTATGAAAAATTATTTTAAAAAATTAATTGGACTATTTAAAAATTCCAGGCACCCCTTTTATTCCAGTCACCCCATCTATTTGAAAACCATTCTGGGTATGACGATAAACTACATTTGGGAGCAAGGCCTCTGATCGGGAGCTTTTGAGGAGCATAGAACCACATCTAACTTGCTGGTGTTCCCAGGTCCGCCATGACCCAGGGTGGTAGCACCTCATAGGGCTCCAGCTATGGGCAAATAGTTAACCCCCAAACTGGGGTCAAAACACTATGAAAGTATAAAAATAGATTTTTATGGTAAAAATACCAGCAATACATTTTTGAAAAAAAATTACCAACAAAACATTTTTGAAAAAAAAAAGATTATCAGCAATACATTTGACTCTCAACAAAAACCCTTTGTACAAAAATACATCAATGAAACCTGATCTACAAACTGATTTCTTACAAAGAATACATATTCTATTCATACAAACCTGTCCTAAAAATCTTGTTGGCATCATATAACCCATTGAGGATGATATGCTATAAAACAAAATAGACCAAACCAATTTATTGGAAACTCATGTGTACTAAGCCAGATTTTTCCAAATTGGTGTCTAAATACACTTGTGTTTAATTAATTACCTGTTCTTTAACTATTAATTAAACTTTTCATTGAATCATTTTTTTCTTCTATACATTTTGAATTATATATTTGGCTAGATTAAAACTTACATGTTGCAAAAAGTTTTATTTTTAAAACTGTTGTCAATGCAAGAATTTGTGAAGCTCTGTACTAAGCTATGAAATATTTTAAGATGAGGATGTAAGGGTATAATATGTTATAAAAAAGATGCTTCATATGAGGTGCTCAACAAATTCAGGGGAAAATTGAATACATGGATCAATCTGTTCATTTG